TGCTTTAGTTGTAGCTGTGGCTATTTAAAGGCCCTCTTTGCAGCAATAAAAAGCCATCGAATTTTGGTCTCTGTTTCTTGATTTTTCTTCTAACAGTGCTTACCTATAAATATTATATACTTGAGAATCTAATATCGGAAGAAGTGAAGGTACCTGGATTTCCAACCCTTCGTGTAGATAAGCCAAGCCCTCGGCTGCACCAAGGAGGATTCTTAGCCTTGTTTTCCAAGGAATGGGTGGCAAAGTGGTGCTAAAAAGATGAACCGCTAAGCTTTTGTTTGGCATGTACTCGTAAACCAACAATCTTTGCATCACTCGTTCACCATCAACCGAGCAATATCCCAAAAGTTTTACAAGGTTTGGGTGATCGACCACACCTAGAAACTGAATTTCTGTTAACCATTCTTTATGCCCCTATAACAAAACCAACACAAAATACACGAATCAACATCGAAAAAACTCATGATTTTGTACTTTATACCTTAATAATTCATGACCTCAACATCAATATTGTATTGGGAAATGTGGACTTCGATTTTGATTGTCAAAATTAATGCTTCTTAATATTGGAAATCCATATTTTATTGGAAGAGCTGGGTCAAACTTATCCATTAGATTATGAAAAGTCAAAGGAGTGTAACGGAACTCTAAATCTACGAAAAGAATTGGAATTTTGAGAATAATTTCAAGAAAAGAATCTTAAATAACAAAACCCAGTTCAGAGTTTATACAAAATTACCTGCATGCCCTGTTTGTTGAGCCTTTTAATGGCGACCACAAGAGGATCATTTTGACTTTCCGAAAGTCTAATTCTTGCTTTATAAACACTCCCAAATCCACCTTCACCAATCTTTAGAAGCTTATTGAAGTTAGTGGTAGCATTCCTGAGCTCTGAAAATGAAAATTTCTTCAGATTGTGTTCTTTTTCTTTGTACAATTCTGGAATGCTTCTTGGGGAAGAGATTGAGCCCGTTGATTTGACTGCTTTTGCTGCTGATTTTGACTTTTGATCTCTTGGGTGTGTTGATTTTGAATGAAATATGCTAAAACATTTCATGTTTCTGTTAATCGATTGAGAGAAGAAAATGGGAAAAAAATAACCCCAATATTGGTGGGAAATGTGTGTGAAATTGAGGAGATGAAGTGGAAATATAAAGGGTTTGAAAAGGAAATAGAAAAAAGAAAGCCAGGTGGGAAGGCGATGAATCTTGAAAGAAGCAACGAGAAGGTTACATGAAGATATGAACGTAGGGTTGTAAGAACGAGTCTGTTGACGACGACGGGACAAGAAATTCCCAAAAAAAGGAGGGAAACGTTAAATTGACGATTTGACGTTCACAACACGGGTTATTTTCTGTTCTCTCTCACCGTGTAATAAATAGTATCAAAAATATTACATTTTTTAAATAAATGTATATGATACTTTTATTCGATTTTTTTATTTCATAATTAAGAGTAGAATGAGAAAATATAAACTTAATTCTGATAATAAACATTTATTTTGCAATGGTTATATTTGTATGTACAACTATACTAAAAAGTATAGTATTTTTTTTTGAAAAATTATTTGATTTTTTTGGCTTAAAGTCGAAGAATGTGAAATAACATAAAGAAATATCACAAAAATATCACAAAAAATAGACTCGATGTGTCACAAAAGAGTCTTTAAAGAGATAATGAAAATTCCAACATATATAAAAATAAAATTTGTCCAAGTCTAGCCGTTGTAAACTCTAACATGCCCCCGAGCACATGTTCCAAAGTGTCGAGAGGGGGTTAGGTGAGTAGAGATTGTCCCGAGTGTCGAATTCTATAGTGGTAGACCCTGGTTCTAGTACCATGTGAATATATGTAAAACCCCGTTATATTATTCTCTAAAAGAGCCTTTGAAGAAATGAAGGAAGTTCCAATATATATAAAGGAGACTTGGTCTAAGTCTAGCCAACATGAGACTCCAACAGATATTGAAGTCTAACATGGTTTGATAACGCCTAATGCTATAAAAAAAACCGATAATGCAAAGTAAATAAATAAATGGTGGAAAATTGAAAACCACATTGTAACCATGGTTATAATAGTAATTTGGTTTCTCACTCTGTGTATTCAGAAAACAATAATAGTACAAGATTACACAAATATACTTATACAAGATATAACCAGATAGAATGGCAAATATGCGTATACAGTCTCCCTCCATCCAAAAAGCCCATAACTTTCAAAACGAAATCTGCTTAACAGACCATTATCACCAAGTAATCCAAATCAGATCGTTTGGTCTGGTTCTTGTAATCAATCAAATAGAGGCTTACCAATATCCATTTCAACCTTTAACTTTATGCTTCTCGTGTCCTTAATCCAGGATCCATAGAAGTTTTCGACTAGGAGCCGGAGGGGCTAATCCCGGGATATCCCGAATGTCTTTGTTGTTTGGATGCACAAGCTGAAATACCAAGATCATAACATCAAGTTTTATCAGGAACATGGAAAGATAAGTTCGATAAAGGTAAGGGTTGTACAATGTATTACTCCCTCCGTCTCAAAATAAGTGTCTAGGTTTTAATTCATCCCAGAATAAGCGTCCACTTTCAAAAAATAAATGTCTACTTTCCCGTTCAACCCTTAATTGTGTGATGTAGAAAATTCCTCTCTCAGTAACTAAGGGTAAAATTGTCATTTTGTTAATTAAAAAGTGTAATAATTACACATTCCTAAAACTCTCTGCAATTTTTGTTGCTTCTTATTGTTATAATTAGTTTTCTTTTTGTTCTGTAGAAGTGTTTAAGTCAAATAATCAAATTGGTAAATCTGATGGTGCATGGTTAATTGATTGCCTGTCTTCTTGGTTAATTGGCTTAACACTATCTAAAATGATACCGAGGGGCAGTTTACTACCTGCTTGCCACCGCTTACTCAGTCAAATATTATCACTGAGCAGTCATTTAGGGGCCTTAGCTGGTGATCCGGGCTGTTTCCCTCTCAACGAGCTGCTGTTTACCAAGCCCCTCTTACCGGTCCATGATGCTGACCTGCTAAGCTAAGGGTGGGACTATTGCTCGGTCAAAACTAATCACAGAACCACAGAACCAGAGAGCGCTCTTACCCGGTTGGCGCTTACCCAATTTGTGTTGGTAAACGACCCCTAAAATTCAATGGTAGCAGGTTGATTGCTATTTGAATTGTATATCTGGATCCACATCCTATATTCTATAAATTTGGTTATGCCTTCTGATGTTTCTATCCTGCTACTTAATAGGTTTGCCAACTTGCTATAACTTTCTTACTGGAAACCTAAATGGCTAAAAGCCATATATGGTCAACATTCGGTTCCTTAACACAAAACAATGAAAGAAATATCGAGCATGCATAGTACATGTGTCATCCTGTTAAAACCTTCAATTATGTGAAGCATACAACACCACATTGATCATGGAAAAAACATAAAAAATGAGGAAATCAAAAGCAGACATGTACCTTCACAATAATGATTGATATGACACCAACCACAATAAGGAAGAGCAAGGCCATAATGCATCGATCAGTTGCAACCTATATAGGGAGTTGAAGTGAGCAACAAGACAGAATTACAAAAATAGAATTTGAAAGAAATAGGGTTGTGAAAATTTCAGAGATTGACCTGCCTACCAATTTCCTTCACCAATTGAGAAGCCTTCTTGATTGAAAAATGGATCGAGTCAAGTTCATTAACAATTCTACTCATTTGTTCAGTCTGAAATTTAGTTGGTACACAAGAAAAGAATAATGATTAGTCTCCAGGTGATTTGAAACGTCTTCCAAGTTATATTGTGAATCCTGTACCCTTCGCTCAATGAGAAAATGAAAGAACTTGAATAGGTTCTACACTGCTTCAACAAGGTAAGATAACATACCTGTGCTTTGAGTGCTGCGGCAGTTTCAGTTCCAACATTTACCGTGTCATGGACAACCTATAAAGACGGGAAAGAGTGCTAGATGACGTATAATTAACAAAACTATAAGACCAAATGCAGCATTACTATACGCTATTGGTTCTTCACATGGTTACATTATACTTGGTACATTTGTTTCAAACATGAAACTACTTATTTTCAGCAGGACAACCGTGTGTGTACATAATGTGTATATAATATCTTTCCCTTGCAAAACATGTAGCGGGAGAATCCTCATAAGTAGGCAGTCTGTATGGAAATTTTTGAGGCTATTAACAAGCCTGTATATATCATGGTCTTCAGAAAGAGGGGATGTAGATGCTTTGAGCACATAAAAAATGAGGTTTCTTAAACTATGGAGTTGGTTTAAATCATACTATCTGCAAACAATTGACCATTTAGCAAACTGACAATTGGCCCGTCACAACCATGTCGTATCCAGGAAATTATTATTTAAACCAAATGTACCCGGTATATCCCACTCAGAATTAAGGATTGGGGTACAATATAAGCAGACCTTTCCTGTACCCTAAGGGGTAGAGAGGTGGTTTTCGTGAAGGCCTCCAGCTTGCAAAAATGTGTTGGGAAGACACGACAGAAACGAAAATTTGGTAAAAAAAAAGTTTGAAGTTTTGAGGATTTTGCGAAGAATCTGTGAGAGCATGAGACATAGGAAAACATTAATAGAAAAAGAGTGTGCAATTAGGTAACAAGGACAATAAATAGTAACAGCAGTACGGACATACATGAGGAGTGTAGGTTAAAACCAGCTGGCCCAAGAAAATATTAGTAGAAAATATCCAGAAACTTACCGAATCAACTATATAGGTGGCTAAAATAACAGGAGAGAATGTGGTTTTTAAGGGACATTTTTATGTAGCATTATGCTAACAGCTAAAGATTGATCTCTTTTATGTTCGAACACATTCGCACCCTCAAAATGTGAGTGGAGCCCTCTGGGCAAGATTTACTTTATCTAACCCAATAAAAGCACAAGCAATCTTAGTATGCTCAGAATTATTAAGTATAAATCAAAACAAATGGACCCAGTGAATCCCACGCGAAGTGGGGTCTTTGGAGTGTAAGATGTGTGCAGCCTTTCCTCTACCCCAAGGCGTAAAGAGGTTGTTTCCATGAAGACCCTCGGCTAATAACTTGAGGGTGTGAATGTGATATTCCTGGGATCTAGTTGCACAAGCAACGTGACGAGACACATTTTTAAGAAAGAAATAAATTGAGGGTACATCAGACCAGTTGCATATTCAGATTTTACATTCATGAATGCATCATCCTAATACAAGACCAAGCCATGAGGATTATTACAGTTATGTCAGAAACAAGAAGACTATAAATCATATTTGTAATACAGTGGTTTATGGGCACACATGTCATAAGGCTATTTATGATTCAGCTTGTAGTTAAATTCCTTAAACTGATTCCGAAAGCAAGCAGAACACATCTAATTGCCGCTGAGTAAATGCATGATAAAAAGAAAAATTAGTTTCAAGCAGCAACAGACCAAGATGTAGGAATAATACAAATTCTAAAACATTGAGCAGATAATTGTTCCCTAAATATAATTGACCAAAGGGCCTTCGGCCTAGCGGTATCGTAGTCCTTGGCCTCCTAGGAGGTCAAGGGTTCAAACCTCACCAATGGTGAGGAGGGTGTGTGAGTTTATTTGTTGCATTTGCCGTATATAAATATTATATACTTCAAAAAAAAAATGTGTTCCCTAAAAGATACTAACCTTTTTTGAACGTTCAATAGCATGGTCAGTTTCATCCATCATTTGATTACCCTGGTCCATTAGTTGCTGATTTGTCATAGCTGAAATATATACATAATCACCCAAACTTTACTCATAGGCAATGAGGTAAAATGTAATGCAGCATTGAACTTGGTCCATAGAATAGATAAAATTATGAAATACAGCGACATCGAAAAGTGAAGCAGGTCGTTGATATTACGCCACTGGTAAGTGGTAACTCACGTAATTCTCTGTTTCTATACCAGTGTTAGAGCATGTCTGTTAGCAGCCTGATGAGTTTAATGGGACTCAAAGCTTATTCGGTCAGGCTTAATGATATAAAAAGTGGCCTATTCAGAAAGCTTCTAGGGGAGCTTTTTGCAGAAAGCCAAGTTTTTTCCAAACCTGCCCTCCCAATTAAAAAACATGTTCCTTCCGGTTATGAAAAATCCCTCCCACACAAAAACCTTCCCAATCTATACAGACAGATTAATTTACACCGACAATTTTATCTATACATAACTTAATGAAAAACCAACCAAACAGCCCCTTAGTTATACCTGTAGCTAAATCATATATTTACATAGTTCCCAGGTTATATACACACAGAATGATGTGATAAGCTTTCTATATGTCAACAGTAATAATGACACCTTAATTTTCAAAGCAAGTCTCTTCATTAAGAAGCTAGAAATCACACAGATACACAATTAAAATGCTAGGTGAAAACCCAACATCACAATTGATGCAAGAAGCATGAAAAAGAGATTATAACTAATGCAAGAACAACAAACAAACTTTGTTATTCAAGGCCAATTAGGTCGCCTCGCAATCTTGGATATTGCATGAGAGAACCAGAGATCTAAGTCAACAAAGTTATAGCACTATGTTCTTACATGACGCTAGCAAGCCATTATCTTCTGGAAATCCTTCACCAGGCCCTTCAAAGAGCTCAACTCGTTTGTTTTCAATGTTGTTTGCATATCTAGATCACCCAACAAACACAAAGATGAATCAACAACACATGGTTGGATGCATCATGGAAAGGAATACATGTAAAACATAAATACCAAGCAGAAAATGAAGTCATGATTATTAGGCATGATTAAGTAGAAGCAAAAACAAGAATAAATGAGAAAGAAATGTTTTCGTGGTTGCTTGTAAGTGCCATGCAAGTATCAAATAATCATAGGTCACTGCTAAGATGTGATTAAGTAACCTGCATGCGAGTAAACTGTTTTTATAAAGTACATGCAAGTAAATGATCCATCATATAAAGCGGGCAAAGTAGAGAAACTCAAATGATTATTTGATATGCAAATCCAAACTCCAATGTTTCACTCCACTATCCAATTTATAATAGCTATTATGGTCTTTGAAAACCTGAGCTAAGTTGATTGAAATTTAGTATTTATCAAAAACCGATATTAGCACCCCTTAAGGGTCATCAACTCCATTTTGAAACTTCTATATTAAGTTGCCTTTTACATAGGAAAATCCCCTCTCCGCTTGAGCAAAACTACCCTTAATATACTGATAAAGAAATTTGAATTTTATTGTAGAATCCTGAAGACAAGGGGTGGGAGTGGGGGGACTTTATCTCCATTCCATTTCAAGAGGGGAATATAGTGAGGGAACAGTTTGCAGTAGAATGAGGACATGAGGACTTACTGCTTTTTCAATGCAACATAGGAGTTCAACTCCTTGACCTGGGATAGAAGTGGTATAATTCATCAGATAAAAAACAATGCAATCATGTGTTTAATAGCACAAATAAAATTGGAAATGAGACTACACCATTGATTGCTTTTTCTCGTTCAGTATCTTGCTGGTATCAGGATCAACTGTATGTTCTAAATCCTTGACTTCTCTATCAAACTCTTTAATAAGCCTGGCAATAAAAAGTTGTATATGAGACTAAAAGTAATGTAAGCAACCGGAAGGTAAAACCTACCACCTTAAAGAGCATTTATATAGCAGTCCAGGAATAGACATTGTTGAGGAAGAAACCATATATGTATCAATATCATCTTCCTAAAAACCTTGACGGCTTAATCCATACAGTTCTGTGACAGATGAATTGAGTTTATAAGTTGTAACACACATATGACCAATCTTTGATAATGTAGAAAGCATGTTTGAAAAGGGTTATTCATGAGATATTTGGATTTTAACTCCTATGAAAAATATAACTTCATACTGGTACCCTAATCTTGAATAATATTATAATAAGTTCCCATGAACATAACTGGAAAATTGAACAGGACAAGCTGTTAGTTCGTGAAGAAGCGAATAAAATGAGAAAGTAAAAGCTGGCAGATTGCTGGTCCTAATTGGTGAAGATATTCAGCTTATAGTTAATAGGCCCAAATCTGATGGCCTTAGAAGCCTCATGAGGTTTTCCTTTTAGTAGGGATGGATGCTCAAAGATGAGCTATATAGGGGGACCATCCTCGGAATAGAAGATCATCAGGATTGGAGATAATATTAAATTTTGACTTGTTGAGTAATATTGGGGTTGAGAAGAGAATTTAAGATTCTTATTCTTGGGAAATGTTACTACAGCTCTAGGAGTAATTTTTAGTGTCAAACTAGATTAACTCTGCTGAACAAAATAAACTTAATATGAACACAGGTCCAGTGAAGTGCACATCTTAGTCTCTTGCACCAGTACAAAGTACACTTAGCATGTCCATTTCCTATGTATTTCAGACTCTATTCGATTCAGCTCTTCATTTTTAAGCAACTGGGATTGTTTAACCAATTCATGTATGCGTTGGCAAAGGCATCCCGGGTAATTCAGTCTTATGGTTCCTCATTATGTGCATATGGCCTTTTTCTCCTAGGTACTTATTTTGTATGGGCTTTTAGTTTAAACAGTGAATCCATGGGTATTTGAACCTGAGTATCCAGGGAAAAGCAGAATATTTGATGTTACAGCGAATCAGCGATAAATGCAGCATGATATATGGTTCAGTAACTTTGTAGGGATTGAAAAACCAAACACAAAGAGGTTGGAACGAAATTGTTCATGTTGATCCAATATACCCAGGGCATCAGTAGTAAAATTTCTTATCATTTTCTAGTACAGACCTATTAGGTGTTCATGTTGAGCCAATATACCCAGGGATTCAATAGTATATTTCTCATCATCTTCTAAGATAGACCTTTAAATTGACATTTGATTAGGTAAAGAGCATGAATTATTCTAGAGCAGCAGCTAGCACAAAGTGCTTCTTTCAAGTAATATTTCGGTTCCACTTGATAGCAGTGTGGCTGTCCAAACAGGATCAGTTCACATCTCTTGGTGAAAATGTTAAAAGTTACCTCTTGCATTCCCGCATCTTGCCAGTTAGCTCTTCCAACTGCCTACTCTGCCGACTTGAGTCTTTGATCTTCTCGAACTTTTGAAATCCATTTCTGCCCCAAAATTCAATGACAACATGCCCATCAGAAAGCCTTACGTTTACAAACAAAATATGGAAGTTGCATCATTCGAATAAAGAATTCAACTTTGTCAACCTGACCATGACATAGAGGGAACATTTTAGCATTCCGAAAACAAAAACCTAATAGGTTGTTATGATAGATCATAGATGTTACATAAATCAAACAATTCACATCAACCTTGAGCTTGAAAGGAACTCAATTGGCTTAATGGGAGGATTAAAATCGTAGTTGGCATAACTATCTAATAATGATTAACAATTAAGTTTTTTGTCAAGTTAGCTTACCGGAGAAAATTATAGGTTTAAGTTCGCATAAGTGATCAAACTAAATTGCAATCAAGTTCTTTGCAATCTAAGCCACAGTTTATACGTCAAATAAACTGCTAATTTTCTTTGTTTGCCCAAGCCATTCACAATTACATATGTAGCATACAAGTAAAAGCTAAGACCCTAAGCTCTAGGCTCTGCTAATTAGTATATGCAATAACAGATGTGCATACCGCCTCATAAAAGATCTTTTTTTCTGACAACGTAACTGTTTTAACAAAATCTAGATTAGGGATAAACAAAATGCTTACGAGAGTGCTCGAAAAATATCAGCTATCTGCCCGTCAATCTCCCCAAGCTCCTCACTTATGGCAGAAATCGAAGACGCCATACTTATCTCTCCAGCACCGTCAAAATCAAACAAGTGTATGTATTTGAATCTCTACTTCCTTTCTCTAATACATCACAAACATCATTATATACAAAAAACACCGCCCAAATTTCTCGATTCAAATATTCGTTAAATCACAAAATACCAAACTTCCACCACTTAGATCCACAAGAACGTTGCAACCACCAAGCACCAGAACTTCAATCTCTTGACACTGAAACAGATTGAATCAAAATCACCAAATCAAAATTTGAACTTATAGAGTTGTGTCTTGACTGATCAGATCAGAGCAATGTAGGTCGAATACATCATAGATCTGATCGAAACTCCAGAGATGGATCAGATGGTGATCGGCGTTCGACAAGATGTTGAGAGAGAAGAAGGGGGGGGGGGGGGAGGTAACTATGAGCTGTTAATCTCTCTGAATAGCTTATGTTATTAACGGGGTAAATTTGTTGTACACTGTGCATTAAGAGTTGTACGTATATGAATTTAAAACCAAGGCCCTAAGTTTCGGCCGTTTAAACCGATGAGTGGGTCCCGTGGACCATGTTCCCGTCTTTTGTACACAATAGTCCAACATAATTCCATGCGGACACGTCTATGTTATATACTATGGAAAAAACAAACAAAAATATACATTTTGGTTCTAATTAAATTTATATTATATTATAAAGTATTTGACAAAAACTTTTAAAAACTATTTTTTATGTAGAAAATACTATTTATTAATACATATTATTTAAAACTCAAAATTATAAGTAGATTGTGTGTAAGTACAACTTATTAAAGGTCTATATCTGAATTCGTATAATTAACTGCAGATAAACATAATCAAATACAAGATATATATCTCATTTTAAATATAAAAAAAACCTAAAATATAATTAGAATAATTATTGAGTTCTAACAGAATATTTAATTATTATATTTATAAAATGTTATATTATTAAACCAAAAATAAATTATTTCGTTATTAAACTTAAATTAAATTATAATAAAAAAATTAAAAAATATATCTTTTAAGTAGTTGATTTTGATATTAACATTGATATATTTTTTTTCAAATTTATATTTTATTTAAAAATAAAATCATTATTGTTTTCTTAAAAACACATAAAATCATATTATAACATCAACAGAGACAAATAATAAAATAGAACATTAAAATCGAGATGTGTCTTGCTGCATTACGCGAGTACTTTTCTAGTATAAAATAAAGAAACCATACATGATTTTGTAGATAAAAATAGATGGTAATTTTGTAAAAAACTAAATCAATCAATATTTATATCAATCATATTAAATTGGTATTAATTTAATCGGTATTAATTATAAATGGTTGGTAGTACCATACCAAGTATGTATTCAAGTTGTGTTCCATAGAAGTATGGTAGTATTATGGTACCAACTTATTTAATTATTTATTAGTATTGAATTTTTATATATTGAATATTAAATTTTCTAACTTTAATTATTTTGTGTGAGTATTTGAACTTTTTGCAAGTTTTGTTCTTTGCAATTAAAACTCTTAAACATCAAATGTGTTATCTAAAAACTCAACATGTCATTCAAAATTGAACAAAATTTGAAGTTGGTACAAAACCAATACTGACATGTACTAAATAAACATAATTGATATCGAGTAAATTGGTACCAAGTACAGTTGGTTGGTACACAGTATAAATTTTTGGGTGACAATTATAATTGGTTGGTATATGATACTGGTGGGAAAAAAAAAATTGGTATTATATCAAGTCCACCTCTATAAATTATATTTGTTTTTGTTGAATTTTTTGTAAAATGATTGTTTTGTCCTTTATATTTATAATATTTATGTTTTAAGTATTATTTATTATTTATTTTGATTTTATAAAAAATTAATTTTTTATCTTGTCTTCTGATTTCAAACTAATTAGATGTTTTTTCTTATTAAAATTGTCTAAAATATAACGATTGAAAATAGACACCAAACATGTGATGGTTATTCAATTTTTAGCTATTTTTATTTGTTGCTTAAAAATTAACCCAAAACACAAACATTGTTTAACCATTAAATGAATAAGTCGTAAAGTTTATTAAGTAAAAAACAAGCAACCGTTTGTTAAGGAGAGGTAGCATCGAGCTATAGTCATTATGCTCAATGACTATGACCCCTTGTTTATTAAGAAAAATACAAACAACCGTTTGTCAAGGAGACAAAACTATGAGATAGAAATTGTGATCGTATATACAGGAAAAAAAAGACATAGAGAACATCGTTTAAGCGAAAGAGGTAGAAAGAGAAAGAAGAAATGTGGAACTAGTTTCGATAAGGTGCATGCGGGAAATATTCTACAGATCATTTTGTAACACGGTGTAAGGCATCACTATCAAATAACCACACATAAGATGAGGTTGGGGCACTCATAATGCATGCTCTATGGACTGCGAAGAGGTTTTTTAAAGCATCGTTGGCAACAACAACAAAAAAAACGGAGCATTAAGTGACATTATGTATCTGCCCTCTATATTGTTGACAACGGCCTTGGAAGAATGGTAGGGGCAGATTGGCCTCGACGAAAGGTAAGCACAACGATTAACAGTTATTCGGAATAGGGAGTGGCATGGAGACTCACGACTTTGAGTACATTGTCAAACCATGGATCATTTAGTTGATCTAGAACCCGATCAACGATGTCATTTGAATCAAGGGGTTTTTCCAAAGAGACGAGTTGATCACGGCAAGACTTCATAGCATTTGCTATAATTTGTTATGGATTGGTTTTCTTTGGTAATATGGTGAAGATGTTATTTGATACGTTTCATGTGGTGTTTTGAAGAATTAACATGAGTTTTGGTGCGTTTTCCCAGCATTGCAAGTGATGGGCATTGAGAATTGAGATGTACAATCGAGGGTGAGAGAGTTTCTAACAAAACATTGATGATTAGTCTGTCTTCTCCAAAAAATGCAGTTTTTGTGTGTTTTTCCAAACATCGTGAGTGATGGAGCATTAAGAGATGAAATGTACAAGGATGATAGAGTTCATACCAAATCACTAATGATTAGCTTGTCTTTGGTGTAAACAAGTTATGTAGGTATGATTGGGAGTTTGATTATCAACGTTGAAGATTGTTTTAGTGGAAGTTGGAAATGATCCATCAATAAACGTGTGAGATTCAACCAAGTAGGGTTGCTTTAACTTGGGTTTTCTGCGATATATATATATATATATGGTATGAATTAATTTGGAGATGTAAGACATACGAGAATGAAGGACTTGTCAGAATTTCTATAATTGCTTCCTATATACATATGTATGGATTGTCTTAAACCATCATCTTTATCTGTATCAAAACACAGTAGCATCAAATTTGAAACACACCATGTCACTTAATGAAAAACGCCAATATAATTTTAAAATTACATTTGTGCATATAACGAGATATACCACACAAACGTCATTTGATGCTCTAACCCTGCATCAGGTAACAACGGTTCATGTCATCATGCATATGACTGATGACTGCAAGCCTCATAAGAAAATAAGTTTTCATGCCACGATCTAGTTGCTCAAATGCTTCACGACAACTTTTTTTTATATAAATAAATTGAACTACCTTTTCAAACTGGCGTTTGCCTCCTGATTTTTTGAAACGAAAATATCACGTGGACTAAATCCAATATCATCTTAGATTAATAAATGCATAGTACATATTACAGCCAATCAAAACAGATATTGCCAGTATCTAATAAAGACGAATCTATGATCTTTCTACTTTATGACGTGATAGTAAATTATTGCGAGTCAACACTGTCATCATTGATTAACCTATATAACATCTGCTTTCTTTTGACCGTAAATCATTAGTATATTTATTACGCATAATTATTATCTATCTTTCAACTAAAAAAATTACAATTGAACATTAAATTAGCCAGTAAAATACGCAGTGTAATTAAATCCCATACAACTAATTCAATACAACTGTTTGAAACTAATGACTCGACATCTTGACTTTTTAACGTAGCAATCCAAATAATTTTTTCATGATATTATTAATTAACCATAAAAATATAGTGATCGCAATAACCTCGTTACTTAATACAAAAGACTTTGAAATAATGCAACAGTCACACACGAGTTCTTGTTTATCCATGCACACGTCTACATGAAAAAAAATACAAAATTCCCACAAAATTTTGATCATTCTAAAATTATACTTTCTCTGTCCCAAAATAAGTGTCTACATTTTTATTTATACTTTGTCTTGAAACAAGTTTTCAGTTTAAAAAATAACTAGGGGCTGTGTACCAAATACTTACCCGGTAAGCGCTTACCGGTAAATTTAGCACTATCATTTACTTACCGGATAAGATTTTAGTCTACCAAAACGGTATCGTATGCAATAATTTACCCGGTAAGCGTTTACCGTGGTAAGAGTCGTCGCCCTCACTTACCAGGTAAGACTCTTGGTCATTGTCTCACTCTTACCGGGTAAGATTTTTTATCCTTACCATATTCATCCGGTAAAGTAAAATGACTTGATGTTCACTTATCCAAGTAAGCGTTTGGTAACGGCCCCTAACATTCTCAAGTATACTCGTAATTAATACATATATAATTAAAAGTAGACTGAATTTAGTATGAAATTAACAAGCACTTATCAGAGTTAACACATGTTTTTGTTGCAAATTTTCATTAAAACTTTCATCAACGTAACGATGTTATTTGCTCAGACAAGTTTCCATTTTCAAATCGACCAAAATCACAATTTTTTGGATTTTTGCTATAAATAGACCAAGCATAAAAAGGTTATTTTTTTTATTTTTTGATCAGGATGACATTAACATTTGAGTTTTCAAAAAGTTGCCGACAAGAAAAACCAATGATTCTTAACATTTTTCGTTTTACCAGGTAGATATTTACCGGTAAGAATCAACACTCTAGCTTATTGTATCGGCTAAGGCTGTAATCTACAATTTATCCGACAAGTGCTTACTGGATAAGAGTCGTTACTCTCACTTGCTAGACAAGACTCTTCATCTTTATCGTCGCCCTTACAAGGTAAGATTCTTAGCCACTATCATGTTTATCCAGTAAGATAAATGATTGTGTTTACTGGATAAACGTTTAGTAAACAACCCATTAAACTTGTTTAAACCCTTGGAAGTTGCGCCACAGGTATGACGCATGACGCTAATATGATAGAAAAATGTTGGTAAACCTGTAGCGAACCAGTGCAAGCAACAAAAGCGAAAGGAGTAACTGATAATTTCCATTTATACACACATGATTCTCATATTATTTCTCGATAGAAAGCTTCCTTATTAGTTATTTTATCTGGAACCTAACAATCATTATACATCT